TTATTCCCGACTCGTGGTTTCCCCACGACTTGTGGTTTCTCCCTGACTCCTCATTTATTCCCGACTTGTGGTTTCTCGCCGACTTGTGCTTTCTCCCTGACTCGTCTTTTATTTTTCGTTCCCTTTAAATCCAGGATAAAATGTTGGATAATGTTTCCTTGTTTTTTCTTAGTTGTGTATTTTATTCTATTTTCTGTTCTCCAGTTTTTTCTCCTTTTTTAACGCTCGTCGCTGTGCTCAGTGTTGATAATGAACGGCTAGCTTTGCTAAAGCTTCTTTATTTTCTGGTCCTCCAGCGTTCGTCTCTAACCTCACCATCCAGAGGCAGCACTTCCCAGGCGATGACGACCAGACGGGAGCAGCCAAAGCTCTGATGAGGCTGCAGGACACCTACCAGCTGGACACGGAGGCCATCTCCAGCGGGCGGCTGCTCGGTCGGCTGATTCTGGGTCAGAGCTGAAAGCCGCTGGTCCTTCAGGCTGGATGCTGACAGCAGCTCCTGTCTCCTCTTTCAGGCTCTGAGGCGCTGCTGAGCAGCAGGCTGACCGTAGAGGACTGCTTTGACCTGGGGAGGGTGGCGTACGCCGAGGTGGATTATTACCACACGGAGCTGTGGATGGCGCAGGCCTTAAAGCAGCTGGACCGAGGGGAGCGGTCCGGCACCGTGGACGCCGTCGCCATTCTGGACTACCTCAGCTACTCCGTCTACCAGCAGGGGGAGCTGGAGAGAGCGCTCGACTTCACTAAGAGGCTGCTAGAGCTGGGTCGGTACCACCAGAACCAGAGTCCAAACTGCCTGGCGTCTCTGGGTTTTATTTTGTTTATCTGTAACACTAATCGCTAGCTTGTAGATTTCAGGGTTTCAAGTTTTTACCACTCTATTGTTACAGGATTGTACTGAAACCTTTATGTGATAAAATGCTAACTTTGATGCGTGGATTTTCATTCTATCTGCGACTTTTTAGTCATTTCTGTGGAGGAAAACCCTCTTTAACTATACTGGGAAAGATTCTCAGTCATCCAGGTGCGACGGCTTATTAGGGCAGGGCTAGAGATTTTATTTTACTATTTCAAGAATAAGTAGTAGTACTTAGTAAAACCTAGTACTTAGTAGTACTTAGTAAAATTAAAAGAATAAAGTCGTAAAATTACAAGAATAAAGTCCTAACATTCTTTTTAAACTTGTTTGGAATGATTGTGACCTTGATTACAGATATTATTAAATTTTTTTTTATTTTGAGAATAAAGTCGTAACATTACGAGAATAAGAATATGTTAAGACTTTATTCTGGCAATGTTATGACTTCATTTTCGTAATGTTATGATATTATTGTTGTAATATTAACACTTTATTCTCGTAACATTACGACTATATTCTTGCAATGTTACGACTTTATTTTTGCGATATTACGACTTTATTCTCCCGTTATTACGACTTAATTCTCGCCATATTACGACTTTATTCTCGTAATGTTATGACATTATTGTCGTAATATTAACACTTTATTCTTGTAACATTACGACTATATTCTCGTAATGTTACGACTTTATTCTCGTAATGTTATGACATTATTGTCGTAATATTAACACTTTATTCTTGTAAC